AAAAATCCCCCCCCCCCCCCCCCCAGTCAATCAAATTTACCCAAGGCAATCAAATAATCGACTCAAGTAAAATATATACTCAAGTAAAGGTATGTATATATAAACTACAATTTATAAAAAAGTTTATAGTTCCCCCAACAGTGCTCTAATATTGTATCCGTGTGTTCTAGTGATCGGGTCAGCTAGAACTGTCACGTCTTCAATCTCAGAATTCGTGGCATACTTGTGGTACTTGATTTGATCCTGTTTTACCAGGTTTTCATACCAAGCCACGCATACCTCTACGACATGGATTTTCCCCGTGGTTTTATCAAATATAACCAAATCCGGTCTATCGTGACGTAGACCTTCGTATCTCATCGTCTTATCAACCCCTTGTAGGGTTGCTCTCACATTCCGTGTGAACAGGTGCACATCATAATATATCTTTGCTGAGTCGTTTTCCATAACCGCAGGGACTGGCTGGTTATGCGCTAATTGCTGCAAGCCGAATCTTCGGCTGAACGTTGCATGCAACCGATTCACCACATTATTGTGGCGTTCCAGCATGAGCCCAGTCCTATAGACCGGGCATCCTGAGAGAATATGCTGCACACTTTCGCGCGCTGCATGACATCTCCTGCACTTAACATCTGCTTCAGTTTGTCCCTTTCGGAACAATTCAGCTGCATTTAGCGCACCTTCCTGTGCCGCTATGCAATTTCGAAAAACGAGTCTCCCAACTTTGGCCCTTTTTAGCCAATGGAAGCTCAACACATGATCTATTACTGGTGAATTGATCACTTGTCCAGCCATAGGTAAACTTTTCCAAATTCCCAATTGCACATCATTAAATTTGGTTTTCACCAATTTCATGATGGCTCTTGCTCCTTTAGTAGCATTTTCATGGTATTGTCCATCAACGAACAATCCTCTTTTTCCATGAAATTGCCCCGTTTCCTTCGGCCGCCGGTACCATAATTACTTCGGAAAGCTTCATGGGCCTGAGTATCAGTTTCCTGAACCCTTTTGAAACTGACTCTGATATGCCTTTTCTGGCACGAGAACCAAATAAGATGCGGGCGATCTCTAGGTCGTTTTTGCATTGGAGATAACTCCAGCAATAAACAACCCCCTCATAAAGCACCTCAGTCAGGGACTTGAGTCCGAGTCCTCCTGACTTTGTTTCGACATAAAGTCGTGAGCTACATGAGCTATAAAATCTCCATCCTTTAGCACCATCATTAGTTTGTTGCTTAAGCAACTTTCGTACCAGCTTATCGAATTCAGAGGCGAGGTCCCTTGCTTTTAACCAGCTCGGTCCCCCTGCGACAGTATTCATATAGAGAAACCTACCTACCGGCATCACGCACACACTATAAGCCGTCCGGAAGGATCCCCATGTTTTCTCTGTCAAGAGGAGTTTCTCTATTCGAGTCACCATCTTCTCCTTAATTCGATTCCAGGCTTCCTCAAAGTCAACCTCGAAGCTTTCCTCAACGCCCAGATATGAATATGCTTTATTGCCGAGAGTTGGCAAGTCAATGACTGCCTCCTCTCCCTGGATCTCTGCCGGAATCCAGGCACACTTTCTTGTGTTAAATTCAAGGCCGATTGTTTTCGCTATTCCTCTCGTTTTCTCTATGATTTCTCTTAGATACTCGTTAGAGGTAGCGAATCCTTTGAAATCGTCCATATAGAACAAGTGGTTTAGACTCAGCGTAATTTCCTGTCCAGGTATGGATACCTCGTATTTTGGCAATAATTCAAGATTATGAGAAATAGGCGCAATTGCCAAACAATAGAGTAAAGGAGACATACTGTCACCTTGCAATACTCCATTTTTAACCCGTAGCTTCTTGCTTTGGGTTATTCTCCCATTCTTCAGCAATTCATATCGGACGCTCCAGCCCCTCATTAGCTCTGCAATCGCATGCCGTATGTTGGGCTGGAGGTTTATGGCTCGGAGGGTGTACCTTATCCACGGTTGGCTTACGGAGTCAAACGCCTTAGCAAAATCCACCCACACTGCTGCCAAACAGGTGTTAGTAGCTTTCGCATGAGACGTAATAGTCCGGTCCAATATTGTGGCATGAGTACACCCCCAAGTGTCTTTCACCAGTGCTCGTTGCTCGTATGGCAATATGTCATGAGTGGTAAGGTGGTCATTTATCCAAGCAGTCATTACCCCCGTTATCAGTTTATACATAGTGTTTAAACATGCTATGGGTCTGTAATTTTCTGCTCTGCTCAGATCACCTCTTTTTGGGAGGAGGACCACCCTTCCTTCAGTGAGCCATTTAGGGAACTTAAGCTTATGCTTTTTGATTCCCATCAACCAGTCAAATAGCACCTTGTTTGCGGGAATTAACCTTTTCCATAAAAGATTAGGGATCCCGTCTGGACCTGGCGCCTTTGATGGCCGAGCTTTCTTCAGAACCAATTGCCAACGCCGGGGATCTTCAGCATAACTGCTAAATTGCTGACCTTTTGCGGTCTTCTCTTGCACTGCCTTGGACCAGTTAGCTAGCTCCGGTGTTCTTTCAAACGGCCGGTGCTTACCTACTATTCCCGACCAGTAGCTCCTAGCATCCTCGGCTGACTTAAGCTTGGATTCACCACGAGGTTCCTCTAGCTTTCGTCTGAGGGGCAAAGCTTTTTGCAAAGCCTCACGCTCTCTCCGTGATCTAAGCTCTATCCGGTCTTTAAGCAGTGCAAGGTGCACCTTCAATGATTCGTTTTTGGCCATCAAATCATTGGTAGTCCTTATCGGTCTACCTCCGACTTGGTAGCATCTTTGCAAATCATAGAAGTTTCTCCTTTGTCTGGGGGTGGGTTTAATCTTAGATCTTCTCCGTCGGATTTCGTCAGTAATCCAACCGATGTGTGTTCTAAGACGGTTACATTCCTTCATTCGGTCATTTTTCCACTCAGCAGCTAGCCGCCGAGCTTCCTTATGTCCTGCAGAAGTACTAGTTTCCAGTGTCTTACCTGCTGTATACACGGCAGTATTAAGGACTTTCAAGACCCCATACTTTTGTGCATGTCGATCGACACATTCTCGAACACACTGACCTAAGCCTACCCATTCTGAAGCTTTCACCTTACTGACATTGATTCTAAGAGGTTTCCTTTCCATCTTTCCTTTAATTGTCTGATGGTAGGTCCTCCAGAATGCAGCCCGTAAGGCTTCTCGCTCTAACAGTTCACCAGAGGATGTGTTATCCTTATTTTCCTTGCATTTGTCTTTGGCCTTTTCTTTATTCTTATCGGAGGTGCTGGCTGTCACCTTCAAGGTGTTCGCTGGCACCTTTGTACCCTTGGGTACTTGTTCTTTCAAGGAGAGATGCACTAGTCTCTCCTTTTCCTTCTCTTTTCTGGCCTCGGACACTTGCTCGGATCGGGCTGGACTTTTATCTTTAACGTAAGTCCTTCCCAAGGTTAACACCCTCTCACTATTTGCCAAGTTTTGCAACTTGCTCTTGTGCTGCGTGGTTTTCCGTTCTATTGGTAGACCAGACTGTTTTATGAGTTGATCTCCTTCGAACCGATAACCTCGCTTTTCAAGCATATTTCTGCGCTGGTACAAAGCAATGGCAGATCTGTTCCCAAATCCGCCTTGTTTGCCTGCATCAGATGATTGCCTGAAAACCTCCCAGATCTCGAAGAACTCGGCTGGTGTCAAGCGTCTACCATTTCTGATTTCCGCCTTACGCCATGTTATGAACATAGAGTCCTCCTCGATCCGGTCCCACCGTGCTGCACTAAGATTCCCTTTGTTTCCCCGTCTAGCGGGTAAACCACCAACCGCGTCGCTTAATCGGCGTGCAACAGGCCTTTCTTGCGACAGTTCACGAAGAACATCGTGCGGTTGATTCTCTTCACCTCCTTCTCTTCTTTCCCCTTTATCATTATTTTTATTTTTATTTAGTGAAGTCTTCATTTTTAATTTTTCCCGAAACGATACCCAAACGTCATAATCCGCCCAGGTGTGTCTCCTGGGTCGGGTCTGTAGACTTGACATATCCCAGACCGAGAGGAGTAGGCTTCGGTTGGAGCGCCCGAATGTCTTCTAATCCCATTCGGGGAGCCTGTAGACTGGCCGTAGCGAGTCGGGCGGAGAATAATGTCTCGAACGCCTTTTTACAGGCTTAGACTTCTGCATATTTCAGCACACCTCTAGCTTTTCCCGAGATCAGTCTCACCCCGTAAGGTTTTGTTCGAACATTGCACTCCTACAATGCCTGTCTCCCGGGAATTAGCATTGGAAATACAGTTGGACAAGCTGTACCGAGGCGCATTCAAAATCCTAGTCTGCCATTCATCTTTCGGGCTTGTGTCCTTAGACTCCCCGTCAGTACTAGAGTAAGAGCTTTTCCCGACGGAGATCAGTCTCTAGCTAATCGTAGGTTTTCAGTCCCTTCCAGTTTGTACTTAGACCTCTGAGATGCTTCAAGAACTAGCCAGTATTTTACTAATCACATTTTTGAGTCTCAATACCCCTTGAGTCATTTAAGACTCAATTGTCAGGGGGACACTAGAGTCTCGAAAAAAAAAATTGGTAAAATTGCTGGGCAGATTGCCTTTCGGTTTTCCACCCGGCAGCCTGTTCTATTAGCTTTCTTAGTGGCCGGATTTCCTAACCCTGCCTCATCTTTCGATTTAGCAGGCAAGGTTGGGGCTCAAAAACCTAGTATTTTTCGAAGAAAATCAAAATGCATGGCTTTATAAAAATATTTATTTTTTTAAAAATAAAAACAATTTTAAAATTGTCAAATAAAAACAATTTAATAAATTGTCAATTATTTGGAGGAGGTCTGAGCCTCTTCTCCCTTCTTCTTTCCTTTCTCCTCCTTCTTTTTCTTTTCCTTCTCTCCTCTCGGGGTGTTAACAACCCCCGAGGTGCTTTGCAGCACCTCCACCTCCTCTTTTTCTTTCTTTCCGTTTGAAAGAACACCGGAGCTAGCTAACTGGTCCAAGGCAGTGCAAGAAAAGACCGCAAAAGGTCAACAATTTAGCAG